TTGTATTAGTCACTTAGTTCCAAATATTATTGAAATGATCAAATTTTACTTTTTTTCTCTTCGAATATTAAAAATTGGTGTTTTCAAAAAGGTGAGAAGCTAGATATTTGTAACGATCCTATATAAACTGAGTGTTTAGCAGAAAGGCTCGAAAAACTCCAACAATTTTGTAAACTATCATGCATCAATTTGCTGCTTTAGGTGTTGCCCTCGACGATACATAGTAGCATTCATGAGCTTCCTAGGATTCGCTAATGTTTATACTCTTAGAGCCAACTTGAGTGTTGCAATCATTGCCATGACCAACAACCACACCAGGACGTTTGGGAATAAAACAGTCGTGTTTGTAAGTTAACGCTTTTGTTTTGTTATTTAAATTTAAGTAACTTTCTGTTAAAGAAAAAAAAAGCAAATAAAAAACAAAGCTATGGCTTACTTGATTGTGTATACTAGGAAGATCGCTAATCTAAAATCTCTTTTTGTGTTGTTTGAATTCTCAATCATAGATACTTTTTATATGCGCAAGGCAGCAGTTTAATTTTTTTTATAAAAAAAGAAAATCCTCTGCATAGCTTTTGTAGTGTATTGATGGTATGATGATGTTAAAATAATTGTCATAATGATGGTCAAAATTTGCTCAGATTCAGGAATTTTTCTTTCATTACAACGACTGAAACACTAACTCGACATTTTTCTAAGAAGAGCATTCGTTAAATTTCAAATATCGTATCAAATGTACAAAAGGAAATTATTTGTTGCTCTTTCTTTTGAATAATGCGGCTGCTTATTTTGTGTGTACTTGCTGCAAAATTCATAAAACATACTAATGGAAAATTAGGATGCCCTGAACGAATAATGCTCCTTTCTTTTGCCTATTCAATCTATTTTTGTCTCATGCGTTTTTCAGCCTCCTGAATTCAATTGGAACATCGAGACCCAAGGCATTGTACTAAGTGCATTTTTTTGGGGCTACATCGCAACCCAACTGCCAGGTGGTTATATAGCGGTTAAATTTGGCGGTAAGAAGCTGCTTGGTACAGGCGTTGCGGTTACAGCTCTTCTTACAATTTTAACACCCTTTTTAGCAAGAAAAAATTTCTATTTTTTAATCGCTGCACGTATTGTAGAAGGTATCTTTGAGGTTTGTAGCAATGTCTCTTATTCTTATTTCTTTTAAAAATTAACCCAAAAATCTTTTAACTTGTTGCATGGCAGTAAATGTCTGAAGCTAAAGGACCATCCTTTTCTGATTTTGTCTAACTCTGCCCAGAATAGATTATTGTATGCATATTTTTTATTTTTACATTTTTAACAGTCTCTTTTTGTCTTTTCTTGAGCTTTTGACCCTGACAGCAGGTATCCTGAGTGTCATTTTGCTTGTTTTTCTTTGTAGAAATGAGACTTATTACACTTCAAGACTGGAAATGTAGTGTATTAAAATAGAAAAAAGTGAGCAAGTTAGTATCAGTATGAAATGCTGTACAGAAATTGATAAATATTAAGTAGTGATAAACTGGCAACTCGCTTTTTTTGTTCGAAAAAACTAAACAATTTTCGGAGTCTCTCTCTGATTCTTCTTCAGTGAATGGACCAGGATCGAAAAATAGAAGAAGGAATCAGGGAGGGACTTCAAAACTTGCTTAGGCTTGAAAAGAGGAGTGTCAGTGTATCCATTTCTCCCCTGGATTTGCTATTATTGCAATTGCTGTTCATAAACTCGTCTCTGTTTTGTTAGCATTAGCATTGGTGATTGCAGTAAACAAGGATAAAATGAGAAAAAATGGAATACACCATCCATCTTGCAAAATAAGCTTATCCGTGACTCTCCTTTTTCTGCCCCCCCCCCCACCACAGTCAGAAGCTTTTCAGTTTTGAATTTTTTCAGGGTGTGTCATATCCAGCGACTCACGGACTGTGGAGTCGATGGGCCCCACCTGCTGAGCGATCACGTTTAGTCTCAATTTCATTCTCCGGTAGTTACTTTGGTACCGTCATCGTCATGCCATTGTCTGGTCTTTTGTCTGAGTATTTTGGTTGGCCATCCATCTTTTATACTTATGGTAAGTAGAGTCTTTAGTATTTTTTGTTCCATGGAAGCTGAAGCTCCATATGATTTTCATGAGCAATTCTAATTTTAATTATTAAAAATGCATTTAAATCTTAGTTCCATCACAAAAATATAGGCACATGTTGAAAAGGAATTGCTATAATCTGGTCGTCAAGTGTTTTTCAGGAAATTCTCATGTATGTGTAAACAATAAGAGGAGAAAATATTTTATTTTAAGAGCAAAGAGATTAAAAACGAATGTTAACCTTTGGCGGTCTCTCAAACGAATCATTAGAGCTTTGTATTTAAGCTTTTAATGCCCAGATTTAGGAGTATGTATTTTTAGCTATTAAGCTGTTTGAGTTTTAAGTAACCTCTGCAGGTTGTCTACAATTCATGTTCCAAAAGAAAAAGTCAATTGTGGGTGAATTGAAAAACATCAAAACATGAGGGTTGGAGGAATTAACCATAGCATTAATAATTAAAAAAAAATAGGAGATTAAGAAGGAAAACATTCTATGAGAAAGATAATAGTTTTATGATTCTAAATTATGGTATTATTTAGTATATTCCATAGTGGTTGGCAGAAAATTTGTAGGTTTCAGATTTTACATTGAATCTTTTTGATTCAAAATTTTGCAGGTTACTGATTACTCTGTATCCTATTTTAGTTTATTGTAATGACGCTACCGTTGTGTTTTCAAAAAGTATCAAAGATGAATTTTACATGGAAACTAAAAAAAATTTAAGAATTATTTCATGTTGTCAAGGTTAAAGTTTTATAAGACTCATGAATACAACACTCAAATTAAATAACTAAATACATATTCGCTATTGTCAAAAACGGAGAAATTTATCTGCAAAAAATTTAGTATCCGCTGCCTGACAGATATTACCCTTGACAACCAAGAAAGGTGAAATGAAATAAAATAGCCTCAATATTTCAATAGTCAGAAGAGCTAAAAAAGTGTGTTAAACTAAAAACGTTAATAAAATTTGTACCATTTTCCAGGATTCGCCGCTCTTGTCTGGTGCTTAATTTGGTTTGTATTTGTCTCCGAAGCCCCAAATGAAGACCCATTTATTTCGAATCTAGAATTGAATTATATTGAAGACTCTATTGGAAGCCAAGGATATAAGGTAATTGTTTCTACAAAAAGTTATTATTATCTTTCTGTGCTAAAAATATATAATTAACGTATACTATTTTGAGCTCTGCTTTTAGCTCCTCTATAATGTATCCCCCTATCTGTTAGTTACTCATTTGCCCTTATGTTAAAATAATTATTTTATTTTAAATTTGAATACTTAATTTTGCTGCCACCATGTACATGAAAAGAAAGAGGGCCATATCTACGAAATCATTGCACTGAGATACTCGACCAAAACCCTTTTCTCTGATAATATTTCACAAAAATAGTATGAATACACCCCTCTTGCCCTGGAAATATTGACTAATAACTTAAGTAGGTACATGATCATTCTTGGTTTGACATTTCGAACAACAAGTTTTGCCTGAAAACTATTTTAAATTATGTATTTTCTACCATCTTACATATATTCATTTGACAGGGAATTTCACCAGAATACGTGTCATTGCAGGGTTGCCGGCAGTCTGGAAAACCGGGAAAATCAGGGAAAGTTAGGGAATTTGTGACAACCAAGAAAAGTTAGGGAAAGTCAGGGAATTCGTTGGGGAAGTTCGGAAATTTCTGACACATCTAATAATCACTAGAAAATATCATTAATTTTCCAACTGCCCACCCCGTTTGGTCATTTAAAGGCTCACCATATTTTGAACTGCTTCTGAATGCCTTTTTCCTTTGAATTTAATTCAATCTCTAAGTTTTTTTAATAGAGTGGAAAATGTGTTCGAAGGTCGAGGAAAGTTAGGTAATCAGAAAATTTTTGAGTCAGGGAAAATTAAAATAGTCAGGGAATTTGAGGATGAAGAAATTATGGCAACCCTGGTCATGAAAATTAGGGAAATGTAAGGGAATTTAATTTTCTAAATTCTGTGGCAACTCTGCTCCGAGAGTTTTTGAAATCTACTCTCTCTTTCTCACCTGAGTTTTATTTTGTATCAGATAATATTTTATCATAACTTCTCATGCTTTTAGGAAGGCAGTATGCCATGGAAGTCTATTCTCTCCTCGGCTCCAGTCTGGGCCATTGTAGCTGCACACTACACGGAAAATTGGGGTTTCTACACAATGCTCACTGAGCTTCCCTCTTACATGGAAGGTACTTGGTAAACATACTCATTTATTACAGAATTTTTCGATAAATTCGAAAATATTTTAAGTGAAAAAACTGAAGGAATGTAAAGTCGCCTTTTTTGAACCTTTAGTTGTTGCACATCCTTGATTCTCCCTAGTTCAGCAGAGGAATAAATGAGATTTTTATTCACAAGGACCCTATCATATTTTTTATCTTATATTGCTTAACATTTCTGACTTTTAGTTAAAGGACATACATAGCTGTGGAGGATATGTTTATCCTGTAAGGACTCATATCGATAAAAAAAACATTGGTATTGCTCGTAAGTTGAGGGTTTCAAAACAGAGTTGTTGAATGAAAACTCATATGCTCCTCTTAAACATTTTTTTGTTCCAAACCTCAGAACTTTCTTGCCTCTGTTTAAAAAATGAATAATCAAACTTTAGTAAAACATATGGATCCGTTGCATGTTCTAATACATTCTTTTGTTATTTCTATAGATCGGTTCAATTTTAGTCTAAAGGATGCAACAGTGCTTGAAGCATTACCATATCTTGTAGCGGGAGTGACTGTTCAAATTGGAGGTTTTGTTGCAGATTGGTTAAGGGGCACAGGGCTGATGACCACGACAACGGTATACTAATTCTTATTTGCCATGATTATTGTTCTTCTACCTGTTTGATTGATAGTCAAGTTTGCACGGATAGAAATCAGCAGGAATGTTGTGAAAAGGAAGTTTTAAGAAAGGAAAGGAAAAGGAGAAATAATGGCCGATGATATTATTCAGGCATATTTTTTTAAGACCACAAAATGTAGTGAAAAGTGGAGAACAAATACATTCATGAAATGAAGATTATTATTTTTAAGATTGACAGGTACTAGTTTTGAAAGTAGTTGCATTTTATCGTAGAAGCCAACTAATCCCTCCATGCCACACCAGACTTGTAGAAAATTAGTAGATAGTAAACGGTGATCCAACCTGACGAATGTAAGGAAGCTCCAATTTATTCTAGGAAATATTTTTGTGGCTGGCCGCTCTAAATTTTTTAGAAAATTATCAATCCGAATAAAAGTACCCTAAAATCGTCTGTTCTGAAGATGGAACTCTCTCTTATTGGACTCTAATTTGATAAAGAAAATACAAAAATTTGCTTTAAATAAGCATACATATTTGTTATGCAGTTAGTTTCACTCTTTCACAACTTGTAATTTTTTGTTTTATCAGGTGCGAAAAGCATTTATTGTTTGGGGTTTTCTTGGACAGGCATGCTTCCTAACAAGTGCAGCTCATTCAGACAACCCAATTTCATTCATTACCAAAATCAGTTGTGGTGTTGCTTGTGCTAAGATTGCCTGGACTGGAATCGGGTAAGAATCAAAATTTATCTTGAAGACTTTGGATCATGAGCATGCAAATCTCTTCGTGAAGATAGAGATTTATCACAATATTTTGTGCTCAATTCTTCTGTTAATTTCTCCTTCTAACAGTAGCTTGCTTTAAGACAAAAAGTCGTAAATTAATTACATAATGAGCTGTTTGGTGCATGATAGATTCGTATGCTCTTGGATAAAAAAATTAAAAAAGAATTTGATGCCAATTTCTAGCTCTCGCCAATTCGATGACTATGTTTTTTACGCTACCCTTTGATTGACTTAAGTCTTTTCTTCTAGGATTTGACCAAGTCACTGCAAGTTTGAAGATAAAGTTTTTTTTTAAAATTGCGATCAACTGGGATTGAGCAGGAACAAAAATTGTACCCTAAATTGAGACCAAAATTAAACTTTTTGAGGTTCCTTACCTGAGAAACATTCTAGACACCTGATTGAAGTCCACAGGTTTCATTTTAATCTAAAAATCGATAGTGAAACTGCAAAAACGCATGTCTCTGTCTACTATGTTACAGACTTCCTGTCATACTTTATTTTCTCTATGGAAAACTACTATACGTAATTTTTTGTAAACCATAGTGATTTTTCTGCCCTATGTAAAAATAATTTGTGAAAACTGCAAGCCATGATGTTTTGTCCATTTTTAAAAGAAGTGATAGGAACGGAGTTTTTGAATCATCACAATGGATTCACGCATTTTTGCAGTTTCATCGAGGTTACATACGCACTTTAACATTATTACACTCTTAGTCCAAACAAGAAGAATTTAAAGAAAAGTAGTATTTTAATCAACCCCCTCCACTTAGCAGTTTTATATGCATTACAGTTAGTCCAGAGCACACAATTTGTGAAAAATGTTCATATCTTATAATTTATAAGTGGAAATTTTCCAAGTACAAATGCATTTAAGCTCACCGTTCTATTACAGAGTTAATCACCTGGATATCGCTCCACCATACGCTGGTGTGCTCATGGGTATTTCCAACACCATCGGAACTCTCGCTGGAATTATCACACCTTCCCTTTCAGGATATCTTGTCCACAGTGATCATGTGAGTACCTTTACTTACAAACTAGCATTTTTCCTGCCCAAAAATAGTAAATTTTGTAGCTGCAAAAATGTGTTGTCAAGGACCATTAATCTTCCACTCAGTATCATTCTTTAGCCTCCAATCTCTGATGCATGTGCAGGTGCAGACACTGATTTAATAAGAAATTTTATCAAGCTGACTTTATCTTTCATACTACCTTTACGAGAGGTGCAAATAAAAATAATGCTTATCTGTTTTCTGACGTTGCCATTGAAAATTTTCCACAACCTAAGCATTTAAAGAAAAATTGTCTGGAGTATATCAAAAGTCAGTTGAGCTTACATAGTTCTATAATTCTAAAGGTTTGAGTGAAAAAACCGTAATTAAAGAATTTTCAATTTGAATTTTATGTCTTCGATTAATTTGTATTCCAGTCAATAATGGGGTGGCGTAGAGTATTCTACATCTCTGCAGGGACACATGTTGTAGGCGCTTTCATTTATTACTGCTTGGGCTCAGGAAAAATTCAGTCATGGGCAATGCAAGAACCGTGCATTGAGGATGATGATGAAAATGACAACGATTCTACTCGGTTACAAGTACCGTACCTTGAGGATGATGATGAAAATGACAACGATTCCACTCGGTTAATTCAATCAGTAATAAGATAAGTGCGCCTCAGTCCATGAGTTCAAACTTCTTCATTATTTCTTTAAAAATTCCTTTATTGGTCAAAAACTGTCCAACTTCTTTTATTTTTAAACTTGAAAAAGCCCACTAATTATTCTGTACAGAGCTGTAACCAAGTGTTCTCTTACCACTAAAGCTCCATTTTTTGGTCAAAAATTTGTAAGTAGACTTCAATACTCTAAATCTTATGTACGTTCTTCATGTTGGAGTTTTGTATTCTGTGGAATTTGATGAAGTTTGTTGTTCTTTTAAATTATTACCCATTGTAAGTTAATTTAAAGCATATTATTCGCCTATGTGTGTTGCATTATGTCTGAAACATATTTTCTAGACTTCTTAAAATTCCTGGTTTGCTGAACTAAGTGTGTCAGTCTAATTAATATTTTCTTTTATGTTCAAGTAATATTTCTCTGTATCAGTGAAAAATATCTCAAATATTAATCATTAAACAATTTTCTAAGAATTATCTTTCATATTGTTAGTTATCTAGAGTTTATTTGAAAAGAAATAGGTAGCAGGAAAAAAAGCAAATATCATCTTTTCAATATCCAGGTTTTTTAGCGATTTATGCTGCTGTCCATTCACATTTGCAATAGACAATAAATTCTCCTCTAAATCTCTCCATACTTTGAATTTTTTTCTCAATTTAGTCAACACTTGCAACTGATAGCAACTTCAAGTTCTGCATACCTATGGTATTATAAAAATTAGGGAAATCTTTCACAAGAGGAAGAAAAATCGAAAAATACAAATATCTGTTTTAATTTCTTTTCTTGTGCTGCATTGCTCATCAAAAATTGATGAGTAAATGCAGAGGACCCAGAAAAAAATCTTAAAGTTTTTAGAAGTCTGAAATTGTGTCTAACTTCGAAAGTCTCATAGATTCTGAATTTTAAGATCTCTTTTTAAAAAAGCGTCTAATTGATTGGTTTTCATCGACACGCGAAGGCAGAGCTCTTG